AAACATCGCCACCCACAGGCTAATCAATTTAATTAATGATTTAATGCTAGCATTAGCTGTTGTTTAATAGCCTGTGTGTTAGCCTGACGCCATGATCTTCAACAGCAGCGAACTTTTTATTTTCAAATCACTGAGAGAGACATGAAACGGTGTTAGTTTTAATATTTCAGTTTGGCTTTAACTTCGTATTTAAGTGTTCATGTCAGAGAAAAATGGCTGCCCTGTGACTGTGTGTGTGTGTGTGTGTTTGTGTGTATTTTGTGTGTTTTCCTGCATGTTTATCCTGACCTGTTGATGCAGATCAACATAAAGTGTTCAGTTCTGAGTTTTAAAGGTTCCTCTGTGATTTTATCGCTCAGACCTGCTGGTTTTGTGTGTCTGTGTGTGACTCACCGTTTTACGTCTGCAGTAGACATCGGGCTCTATTTTCCTGCTCGCCGGCGACACGGCGGAGGGTGGCAGACCCCGTGCAGTGGTATCTTCGTCTGGCGGAGCCCGGCGTACAGCCAGTTATTTATGTAGACTGAGTTCCACCGAGGTCCGCCATGCTGGGCGTGGTGGCGTGGCAGGGGGAGGTGTCGACAGAATCAGCGGATGCAGTGACATTTTTGTGCTCGCCGACGGCGTGGAAAGTGCGCTGAAAGCTCGCCGATTCAAACCTGGTCAGCTTTCAGCGCAGACGGAGCGCAGCTGGTCTCGTGGTATTTTGGTAGACCGGCGGCGTATCAGCATACGTCACCGATGTCTCACCTGCAGGTTTCCACAGTATCAGGAACATTTGTACAAAAATGGTAATACGCCTCGCCGATGGCGGGTTTAAAGGTGAGGAGAGCCCGGTGCTAAATCTGATGTCAGGGCAGGTGATTTGATCCCCATCCAGCCCAGGAGACAGTTAGGAGGAGCGGTTCTGATTGGTGAAAACAGGTCACGGCTTCGTTTAACCCACTCCACGCCTTCTCTACGACTACAACACCGCTGGGAGGAGCTGAGTTAGGGAGGGGGGACACTTACGCCGGGCTGCGCTGTCACCAAAATACCAAAATGTGCTCAGGCACGCCTTGTCGGCATGGCAGACCTGACTTACGCCACGCCTACGCCATGTCGCTGGCGAGGAATGAAAATAGAGCCCATGATCTTCACTTCCTGGTTTCTTTGTGTTTCTGCAGGATCAGAGCAGGTTCTGACTCAACAGCAACAGGCCATCATCAACCAGCAGGCCATCATTCTGGTGTGTTTCTGACTCTGTTTTCAGTCCCGTCTGATCCACGTAGCTTCAGAACCGGGTTACCAAATTTATCTCTGAGTTTTAAAAGCCGAATGAAACTTGGATAGATACTTTATTACTGAAACCCCATCAGGAATCCTTGAGTTTCAATTCAAACGAGCCCGTTATCAGAAAAGCTGCTTCACTAACAGATTTTTCTGCTCATCGATCGTAAACAGACTCTGACTACGACTACAAACACAACAGGACGGATGAGGCAGGAGTCTGAGTCTCATGAGAAAATCTGTTTCAGGTCTTCAGGGATTAGAGACAACGATGATTGTCACAGAGAGCCAAGTGTGTGTTAGTAAAGCAGAGGGACGGAGTGAGCACTAAAAACAGAGCTGCAGCATTAACCAGCATTGTGTGAAATCTGATGTGAGGTTATGGGCAGGTGTTCCAGCCCAGGAGACACTTATTGATCAGCTTTTTTTAGCCGTGATCTCAGTATTGATCAAATAATATTGGTTATCATTGTGGCCATCATCCTGTAGTTTTATCTGAAACATACAATCATTCATGTTCCCCAAAGGTAAATCAGTGTTGAAACATACGACTGCTAAATTTATACTTATTTGAGCTTAACGGACTTCAAACTGTTGAACAGCTGTCATGACTTCATCCAAAGTTACCCAGATCAATCTGCTGACCAGATCAATAAATACTGAAGTCTGTCAGTTTGTTCGACCAACAGGACACCCAAACTTAAACTGAGGCTTTACTGTTTACCTGAGCGTCCTGATTTACTGTTTCCTTGAAGCTAATTAGCCGTTAGCTGAAGTCCAGCATCATTTTCACTCCTGCGCTCCGACCGTAAAACAAACACAGTTTCATCGCTGATCATCACACACATCTGAGGAGTGAGTCCACGTGTGTGTGTGTGTGTGTGTGTGTGTGTGTGTGTGTGTGTGTGTGTGTGTGTGTGTGTGTGTGTGTGTGTGTGTGTGTGTGTGTGTGTGTGTCACAGGCCCAGCAGATGACCATGCAGGCCATTGCGATCCAGCAGCAGATGCTCTCCTCCTTCCCTCCTGTTTCTCCAGCCCCCAAGTCTCCACCTTCACAGCATCTCCAGAACCAGGAGCCACACCGTCCTCACACACCCGGCCTGGTCAGTAATCACACACAAACACAACAACACACACACACACGTGTGTGGAAATAGAGTTTTTACATCAGTGTCTGTGTCTCTGCAGAGCAAAGACGGTGAAGAGTCGACGTACAGACACGCTGCTGTCCACAGAAACATCAGTACGTCTCTTACTCTTGGATTTATGTTTCCAGGTTTTCTGTGATGCTGAAGGTCCAGATGATCTTTTTATAAAAACACAGTTTAGTTTTCTGAATCTAAGTCCTCGACCCGCCGTGGAAACACAAATATTGATCAAGTGTGACGTGGTGGGAGAGTCTCCTTCATGAAAACTAGAACAAAGACAGAGTTGTGTTCCAGGTCCGACCCGTGGTCCCCCTCCAAAGGATGTGGTTCGGTCCAGTCCGAGTAACGCTGAGCGCATGGATCCCAGCCATGACATCAAAGACATCATCAAACAGCACCAACCGGCGGCGGCGGCGATCTCGTCCTCTGAAGCGTCTGCACAAAGGTCCTTTAAACAACGTGACGAGTGTGTTTGTCTGTCTGCTGTGGAGCTTTTTAACCACTGAGTGTGTGTGTGTGTGTGTGTGTGTGTGTGTGTGTGTGTGTGTGTGTGTGTGTAGAAGGAGTGATATAAAGATGTTTGCAAAGAAGCCTGACCCACACGATGAAGCAATGGAGATTCTGAAAGACCAGATGGCAAATCCTCCACAATCGGTAACACACACATCTGTACACCAATCACACACACACACACACACACACACACACACACACACACACACACACACACACACACACACACACACACACACACACACACTGACATGAAATTAGAAACCTCCATCTCTGTCTCAGTTTCAGAGGAAACCTCAGTCCGTCCATCGTAAAGAGGAAGGAGAACTTACGACTTCCAGACCAATGAAATCTCGTCCTGTCGGGCAGGTCAGCTCCAACATAAGCCCCGCCCCTCCTCCAGGTAAGCTTTCATTAACGTATCAGTGCAACAGAAAACTTCCCACCTGACAGCGGTGGGCTGTGTCACATAGATAGATAGATAGATAGATAGATAGATAGATAGATAGATAGATGGATGGATGGATGGATGGATGGATGGATGGATGGATAGATAGATAGATAGATAGATAGATAGATAGATAGATAGATAGATAGATAGATAGATAGATAGATAGATAGATAGATAGATAGATAGATAGATAGATAGATAGATAGATAGATAGGTAGATAGATATTTCACTGCATGGTCTCCTGATGACTGAGTGCTCCCAGTGTTCCCAGTCTCCAGAGATTTACCAGTGGAGGAGGAGATCTTCCACACTCAGCTCCACAGCAGAACCTCTGAAGAATACTTCACGTACTCCAACGTGCCGTGGAAACTCTACATGAGGAAAGAGGTCGACTTTATTTCCATCTAGAACTTCTCATCGTTTCAATCGTTTAGATTGATTAGATTGATTTATTGATTAGATTGATCAGATTGATTCACAGGACACGTTCTCGCTCTGTTCGCAGGTCTTCTATCCCAAAGAGAACCTGAACACTCCACTTCTTCTGGACCTGATCTTCAGACAGGTCCATCTGGTTTTTTTACACCTCTGTTTCACAGTCATGTTTGTAGTTTGTCTGAAGAAGATCTTTCACTTTTACCTCTTCTACCTTCAGGTTGTTCATGACACCTTCTCAGCGGCCTGCATTCGCATCACCCAGGAGGAGAGGCAGCAGATGAGAACGTTCTTCGGTACAGGAACCTCTCGATCAATCGACTCTGATAGATGCAGAGATAACACCGAGATTATCAGCTGATCCTTCACCTCTGCTCCTTTTCTGACAGCGGAGAACAAAGTGGATCAGATTTCAGGAACACACGATGAAAACGTGAAGAAGAAAGTTGCCGCCATCGCCAGAGACTCATGGGAAATTTACTTCTCTCGTCTCTTTCCTGCTTCTGTGAGTTTTTGTCTTCTCTCGTTTCTGAGTCGACCTGAAGAGGTAATCAACAGAACGAAACTCTGTGTGTGTGTGTGTGTGTGTGTGTGTGTGTGTGTGTGTGTGTGTGTTCAGGGCAGTGTGGGAACAGGAGTGCAGGTGCTGTCAGTGTCTCATAAAGGTATAAAGCTGCTGAAGATGGTGAGGAGCAGCTCAGCAGCTCCGGATTATTTCAGAGTCCTGAGGCCGTACAGGTCAGCGTCGTTTATCTCCTCTTTAAACTCCTGAACCTCCGTCCAGTTTCCCTCGTCGGTTTGACGTTTCCTCCTGTGTCTCTTTCCTCACAGCTACTCAGACATCCTCTTTGTTTCCATTCCATCTAAAAACATGCTGGAGTTCAACCTGACCAACGAGAAGCTCATCCTCTTCTCTGCCAAGGCGCCGCAGGTCAAACACATGATCGACCACTTCCTGACGGAGCTCAAGAAGGTCAGAATGAGACGATTTTCAGTCATAATGAGAAACTTTAGTGGGACTGGAAAAGTCAGAGATACTAAATAACTAGTTCTAACACAGTCCGACTGCTGTGACTGTTTATTATGTTTATTATGTTTATTATTTTTATTATGTTTGTTATTTTTATTATTTTTTTAATGTTTATTATGTTTATTATTTTTATTATGTTTATTATTTTTATTTTATTTATTATATTTATTATGTTTATTATTTTTATTATTTTTTTAATGTTTATTATGTTTATTATTTTTATTATTTTTATTATGTTTATTATTTTTATTATTTTTTTAATGTTTATTATGTTTATTATTTTTATTATTTTTATTATGTTTATTATGTTTATTATTTTATTATGTTTATTATGTTTATTATTTTTATTGTTTATTATCTTTATTATTTTTATTATTTTTATTATGTTTATTATATTTATTATATTTATTATGTTTATTATGTTTATTATATTTATTTTGTTTATTATGCAGCTGCAGGTGTTTTAAAAGGATCAGATCAATAATGTCATTATTATTGATCTAAAATCAGAGATTTATACTTTGATAAGACAACAACAGAAACCACAGAGACAAGCTGAGTTACGTCTTAGAGTCACGACAGGACGTCTCTGTGAACCTGCTGTGTCTCCGTCAGGACTCTGAGTTCATGGTCGCCGTGAGGAACTACGTCACTGAGGAGAGGAGTCAGCTGAGCTTCCACAAAGGAGACATCATCAAACTACAGAGCAGGGACGGACTGGAGAAGGGTGGGACACTAAACACAGACACACACAGACACAACACAGACATCATCAAACTGCAGAGCAGGGACGGGCTGGAGAAGGGTGGGACACACACTCAACACACACACAGACACACACAGACACACACACAGACACACACACAGACATCATCAAACTACAGAGCAGGGACGGGCTGGAGAAGGGTGGGACACTAAACACACAGACACTAAACACACTGAACACACACAGACACAGACACACACACACACAGACACACACAGACACAAACAGACATCATCAAACTGCAGAGCAGGGACGGACTGGAGAAGGGTGGGACACACACACTCAACACACACACACAGATACACACACACTGAACACACAGACACTGAACACACTAAACACACAAGCAGACACAGACACACTCAACACACACTGAACACACAGACACACACACATCATGCTGATCTGCTGTCGTGTCTGTAACTCTTTTATATCACTGTTTGTCTGGCTCTGTGTGTGTCTGTGTGTGTGTGTGTGTGTGTGTGTGCGTGTGTCTGTGTGTGTGTGTGTGTGTCTGTGTCTGTGTGTGTGTGTGTGTGCGTGTGTGTGTGTGTGTGTGTGTGTGTGTGTGTGTGTGTGTGTGTGTGTGTGTGTGTGTGTGTGTTCAGGCAAACATTACGGCTGCATCGTCAGGAAGAAGGTGATGCTCCTGGAGGAGCTGAAAAGAGACACTCCTGAGTTCGGTGAGTTCAGCAGCTGGAGGAGCTTCACCTCCTCCGTCATCTTTGATGGAGACGGAGGAGACGCCTGTCTGAGGGTTTCTCTGGTTTCTGTTGTTGTTGATGAAAGTTGACTGTAAAGATGTTAGAGAACAGTCTGATAGGACTCAGTGTGACACAGCAGGAGTGGATCTTCTCTGTGAAGTTGTTTTAGGATCTAAAGAAACATCACAATAACGAAGGATGAGATCATGAAGTGTTAGTATGACCGGGTTAGATGTTACAGAACATCATGATCCAGTCTGAAGATCAGATGATGTTTTTCTGATAGTCTGTTCTTCAGTCTGGCGTCTCCACGGCGTCTCACTGATCGACTGTGTCTGTCCCGTCCTCCAGGTTGGCGTTTCGGGGCGGTCTACGGCAGATCAGGAGTGTTTCCTGGTGATTATGTTCGACCTGTGGCTGCACCGGACTTCCTGGTTCTACCTGCTGAGCGCACAGAGCCCCGAGACCGGCAGGGGCGAGTGGCTGCTTCTGCCGCTGTTGCCGTGGCGATGGGCTCAGCAGTCGCTGCCCATGAGCTGGACCTCTCTATGGAGGTACGAAACAGAAGATGGTTTGTTCCTGTGAGAGCAGCTCTGACCTGAAGAGAGATGATCTGAGTGTCAGTAACAGGTTTCAGAACCGACCCGAACGGATCAGGGTTCTGTTCATGAGTTTAACCCGGAGACTCTGAGACGACTCCGCTGTGTTTCCTGTCACTGCCTCTCAGCGTCTTCCTGCCGTGGGCGTGTTCATGTGTGTTTCAGGTCGTAAACGGGATGTATGGAGACGGCGTGAGCGTGGAGATGGAGGACCTCCCCCTGCACAGCAGTCAGTACCACATGACGGAGTTCGCCAAGAAGTACTTCAGAGAGGCCCAGAAGAACCGCGGGTCAGTCTGACTCACAGAACCACAGAGAGGGGGGGCGGGGTCTGTGGATCATAAACAAACAGTTTAAATGAAATATGAAGTTTTTTTTCCCATAATTCCTTAAATTCAACAGATTCAGGATTTTTTCACACAGTTTTTCAAACATCCTGTTTTTATTTTGGATCATTATTTTACTTTAAACACAGAAACGAAATTATTTCACAAAAACCACCAGAGTCTGAAATATTAACCCCGCCTCCTTTAAGAGTCGATGTTTTTATGGAGCCAAAACAAAAACCACTGTTGTCTGTGATCATGTACTTTCACTTTATTGATCACAGCATGTGATCAATCGATCAATTCTGTGAAATCAGAGGGTTGTCCTCCACTTTACACTCTGTATGAAAACCTTTTTACACGTTTGAGAAAAAGAATCGTTGATGCTCACAAAGAAGGAGGAGAAGGAGGAGGAGGAGGAGGAGGAGAAGGAGGAGGAGAAGGAGGAGAAGGAGGAGGAGAAGGAGGAGGAGAAGGAGGAGGAGAAGGAGGAGGATATCAAACTTTATCTAAGAGTCAAGAAGTGGAGTGAGAAGAAACTCAAGGAGAGACACAGAACAGAAGAAGTCTGGGAGAGAAAAACTGTAAAGAGACGTGTCTGAACACCGAGAACAACCATGAAAACAGAAGTTACTGACGTAGACAGGAACTGACAAACAAGACCGTCTCCAGAACCTGAACAGAACCGGACCGTGAGGAAACAGGCCAAGAAAAACTCCACCTCTACAAACCGAGGTACCTTAAAGACGATCTGGAGAAAGATGTTCAAACTGGAGACGTGATCTTCGGTCAGATGAGACCAAACTGGAGCTCTTCAGTCAGAGAGACGTTACTGATGTTCGGAGGAAGAAGGAGCGGCGTGTAACCCCGAGAACTCTGTCCCTACAGTCAAACACGGAGGTGGGAGGATCCTGCTGTGGGGATGAAGAAGAAGGATACATGAAGACTTTGAAGAAAACCTCGAGCAGTCAGCAGCAGAACCGGGTCTGGGTCGTCGCTTTGTGCTCCAACATGACAACAAAACATCCAGAGGAGCGACGTCCAGGAAACCAAAGTGACCTTAGATACTGACCGGCCTGGACCAAGTCCTGACACTGAGAACCTGAGGGCTGCACTGAAGACCAGGGTCCAGGAAGACCAGGGTCCATGAAGACCAGGGTCCATGAAGACCAGGAGCTGGATCTGCCAAAGAGGACCAGGATTCCTCAGGAGATGAACCGGAGCCTCGTTACAAACTACAGCAGACGACAGCGTGAGATCATCCTGCAAAAAAAGGACAAACAGCTGACCGTCAGCCTGAGGGGGGGGATAATTCTGACTCTGGTGGTTTTTGGTTTTTGTGAAATAATTTAGTTTCTGTGTTTAAAGTAAGGATCTAAAATGAAACCAGGATGTTTGGATGTTTCTGTCTCCAGTGGTCAGATCTCGATCCTGAAGGCGTTAAAGTTTTTACGTTTTTGTAAAAGTACCACAGCGTGGTAACATCCTGCTCAAGTTTAACTCTTCATGGACCCAAACAGAGTCTAGGGCTGTGTCCGAAATGGCATACTGCCTGCTATCTACTTACCTACTCAAGCAGTAGCTACTGCCTACTGACTACTCAAAGATGATTTGAGTATGCCGCAGCTGCCCGAGCGTTTACACACATACATACTAAAATACCCCAGAATGCATTTCGTGCCGGCCGGACGCAGCGCCGGGAAAATTTAAATAGTCCTACCACAAGCAACACAGAACGACTGCATCCCGGACAAATTATATAAATTCATTCAATAATAATATTTTTTCTAACGAGAAAGTAAGTGTTTACATCACGATTATGAGCCCAGTTGTTTGAAATAGCGGCTGTTTGTAAATTTGTCTCGGCGTTTTCGGAGACCGAAGCGTCCACTTGGTGGGTGTTTGCGTCTATTTACCGTAAACACCGGGCAGCAGCAGCTCCCCCTTCATGTTTCCAAATTATTGAGAAGTGTTTTCATAATCAACATCTACACGACACAAACCGGGCGGCAGTGGATGAAGAAAATCACACAAACATCTGTGTATCCATGGTGATAATGCTATACACCACCTGCTGGCCGTGTGATGAGCAGCAGAGGGCTGCAAAATGACCAACACACAACATAATTATTATGACCTCGTTCGGTTATTCCTTGGCAAATACATCATTTCCCGACGACATTCTTTTCATGTACAATGATAATTTCAGAAATCATCAGATTTTCAACCACAAGTAAGAATTAGTAAAGCTCACATATACATTGTCAACTGGAAACTCCCCCGTTTGTATATTCTGAACCATGTGCTCTCTACCAATAATAATTTTTATTAATCAGAGGTCTGTGCTTAATATGAGTGACCACTTTGATGATGCATTCAGAGATGAGAAGATGCTCAAACTTGATGTAATAAATACATCTTTAGTAGACACTTAAATAAATAAAGTCAATTCATACGAAGAGTTAAAAACATGACCTATAATCCTAATTTAAAATACAAACAAATCTGGTAAAAAGATCAAAATATGATAAAATGATAAAAATTGTGTAATGTATACTGACTAAATATTGTTTATCTATATATATATATTATTGCAATCATATGCCATCTATTTCTTTTCAGCCTCGGGAAGGAGGGCCATATTACCAGTTGAGGTGCGCAATGCATTGTGGGGCAGAAGCAGTACGTGAAGCAAGCTCCGTTGCACACTCAGAAATCGAAGCCGATTGAGTATACATCAGGGCATTTCTCGCATACA